TACAGCATGCTCTATGAGGGAGGGTCCTTCAGCAGCGAGAAGCCCCCCCCCAGCTCTTTTGACAGGCAGAGGCAGAGAGGAGGCTGTCCTGTGCTGCTCAGTGAAGGGGGATGCAGGATCAACCCCGTAGGGCCTGGAGCTGCCCTGGCCCAGGAGCAGAGCAGGCAGGGCCTTGGGGAGGGGGATGCAGGGGAGAGCCCCTGCCCATCAGGACAAGAGGGAGGATGCAGAGGGGGACAGGGAGGATGCTAACAACACTTACTGGCTCCCCCTTGCTGCCCCGTACTCCAGCAGGTCCCTCCAGCACCACAGTGTCACCCTGCACACCGAAGGAGAGAGGGGGGTGAGCAGGGGGGTCAGCACTGCTGCCCTCCCTCCCATGCTGGGGACTCACCTTGTCTCCTTTGGGCCCTGGGGCCCCACTGTCTCCCTGCAAGGAAGGGGAGATGGTGAGACACTGCAAAGGACATGCAGTGGGGCAGCACTTCTCTGGGGGCCCCAATCCCTGGGGGTGCATCGTTCACCCCCCGCGGCTCTCCAGCGCCCAGGGTCCCTTACCTTGTCGCCACGCTCCCCCCGGTTCCCAGGCAAGCCCTGCAGGAGAGAGGAGAGGGGTGGTCAGGGAGGGGTCTGGCTGGGGGTATTTACCGCCGGCCCGCGATCCCCTTCTGGCCCCGGGCGCCCGTCTTCACCCTGTGAGAAGAAAGGGATGGGATAAGGGAGTCTGGGACGGGGGCACCCCCATCATCACCCCACCTCAGGGACAGGCATGGTGCTGGCTTGGTGACCCCTTGGGGTTGCGCCATGGGATTTCCTGTCTCTGGTGGTGGGGACACGGGAGGGGTGTAGGGGGGACCATGGTGGTGCCTACCCGTGGCCCTGGGTCTCCACGCTCGCCTCTGGCTCCTGGCAGCCCAGCCCCTGGAGCACCCTGCCGGGGGAAAGGCAAGAGCTTGTCCCTGTCCTTGCTGCCCACCACTCCTCCCAACCATGCCATGTCCCCCGCCATGCCAGGGGACACCCCATGGCCCTGATACTGGCCTGAGTGCCCGGCACAGAGCAGGCTCCCATGTGCCACCATCCAGAGTGGTTTCAGCATCACCCAGGGGGTGGCTGCAGCAGGGACACCCCACAAGAGGGGCAGCCCCACACTCCCCATGATATAGGGCTGTCCCCTGTCCTACCTTGTCACCCTTCGGGCCAGAGGTCCCTTGCATGCCCTAAAAGAAAGGAGAGGGGTGAGGGAGCCACAGGAGGAAGGTGATGCCAGGCACCCAGCAAAGCATCCCTGGGGCTCCCACAGCAGCTCCCGCCCTGTGCTGGAGCCCTGAGCAACCCCCATCCCCAGGGTCTGGGAAGGTCAGAGTGAGCCCCCATCACCCTGCCGAGCTGGTGGAGGAGCCAGGGCAGAGCCTGCATCCCGCCAGGGATGCTGCAGCACCAGAGCCCCATACTCACTGCTGGCCCAGGGGGCCCCACGGGTCCTGGTGGTCCGGAGGTGCCATCTCTCCCGGGAAAGCCGATCAAACCCTGGCAGGGAAACACTGTGAGCAGGCAAGGACCACGTCCAGGAGTCAGTGGGGCTTGCAGGGGACCCTGCTGGTGCTGCCTGAGGGTCCAGGATCACCTAGACCAGCAAAGGTGAGCACAGGCTGTAGCCTTTACCCTCTCTCCTGGGGGGCCTGGGGGGCCAGGCTGCCCATTGTCCCCTCTCAGGCCAGGCTGTCCCGGTGTCCCAGCGATGCCTGCTGAGCCTGGGGGTCCCGGGGGTCCTGGCAAGCCAATGTCACCCTGGAGCAGGGAGGAAAAAGACAAAGCCTGTGAAAACAGCCCTTTGGGAGCATGCTTCTCCCTCGGCCAGCCAAGCTGGGGCAGCACCTGGGCTCTGGGGACACGGTGAGCCAGGGGGACATGGGGACAGGGATTACCTTCAAGCCCGGAGGCCCGTCCTGTCCTGGTGGTCCCTGCACACCGACACCCATCGATCCCTGTGTGGTGGCAGAGAGCACACGGTGTGTCCCCCGGCTGGCAGGCACGGGGGTGCTGGGGGCACCGTGCCACCCCCAGCTGCCCCCCAGGGCTGGGAAGCACCCTGTGGCCCTGGGACCAGGGGACACTTACCTTCTCTCCTTTGGCTCCAGAGGACCCCTTGGCTCCCTGCAAAGACACCAAGCCACCGGGAAGGGCTGGGCGGTGGGTGGCGTGGGCACAGATCCTCCCCCTACAGCATCCGCTTCCCCCAGCATCCACCCCCTGGCCCTCCATGTGCCTCCTACTCACGTCTTCCCCAGGATCTCCTGGCTCCCCAAATCGTCCTGGATCCCCCTGGCAGGGGGAAACAAGCAAAAAGCAGAGGCATGTGATGAGGCATGGGGGGAGCAGCTGCAGCCGGATCCCCCCTGCTGTGGGGAGGCAGCCAGGGAGCCCAGGGCCCGCATGGCCCCCTCCCCACTAGCCCCCCGAGCAAGCACTCACCTTCTCGCCCTTGGGGCCCGGCAAACCTCGGTCACCCTTGGAGCCCTGATGGGGGAAAGCAGTGTTAGGGGAGGGGGGTGGCCACAGGGCTCGCTCACACCCCCAGAAGGCAGGGGGTGGTGGTAGGAGGATAAAGCTAATGGGGGGGGATAAGGTTAATAGGGGGACGAGGTTAACGGGCTCAACTCACAGGTTCTCCCAGCAGCATGCCCTCCAGCAGCGCTGGCTCACCCTGCAATGACACATGGGTGCTCAGGTGTGCCCACAGCAGATGCCAGTGTCCTGTGGCTTTCGCAGCACCCAGGGGTGGGAGTCCCCCCACCTCACACCCTGGCTCCTTACCTTCTCGCCTTTGGTGCCGGGAGGGCCAGCGATGGCCTAGGGCACAGAGGAGAAAGGGGGCAGGTGAGCAGGGCTGCACAGGGATGCTCCCCCTCATCCTGGCCCAGGAACGCCGGGGAAGCTCCCAGCTGCTGCAGAGGCAGCTCTGCGCTCACCTGTCCTGGGGCTCCGGCGCCCCCCGGCTCTCCCTTGGCACCGGCAGGGCCCGAAGGTCCTGGCATACCCTGGCACAAGCAGCACAGCCCTCAGCTGCAGACACCCCAAGCTGAGCCCCGTGGGGCTCCTGCTGGAATGGAATGGGGCGAGCAGCAATGTACGTACCATCTTCCCAGGCATCCCCGCCTCGCCGTCTTTCCCTGGCACACCGTCCCTGCCCGGCACGCCCGGCTTCCCGCTCTCCCCCTGCATGCAGTGAGACCAGGCTGGGGCACCGGGGTGCCGCAGCCTCCCGAGCAACCCCGAACAGCCACACCGATGGCAGCCGGGCAGGGGTGGGACAACA